AAACCAAATAAACATTTCAGCCAATCACCAATTTCTGAGTGATTGTTCAAGTAATGCTTATGTAAAACAGTATTTTTCTGAATTTTCTTAAACCAATTTTGTGCAAGATGGCAGACACAGCAAATAATTTGGCTTGTTGGAAAGCATTTAATGATGTATGAGCAGCAATTTCAAAATACGAATAAAATTTAGTAATATTGTTACGAACGGGATCCTTTAGGGATCCAAAAGCTGTTGCACTTTTACAATAAAATGTAGTCAATTTAAATATAAATCAATTGTAATTTATTAAAACCAATAATAATTAATATAGTCGTGGTGAATTGCAGCGTCGTGAGTTGACTAGTTGTAGTAGTTGATAATCTCCATGTAAGTCGTGTGTAAAGGCTGGTGCGTAAGCTGTCCGCTCGGTCTTGGCGGCTCTGGTACATCTACTCAGGCTGTCTCGCTGTCCCCTATATATATGGTGGCGGCGTCCTTTGAAAGCGGGTAGCGCGTGTACAGTCGTCCTTGATATGATTCGGACCTCACGACTAAAAGTGGTATTCTAGTCGAAAACACTTTTGGGTGTGGTCGCATTCCTGGTTGTTTTTATGAGCAAATACATGATATTACGTAATCCCATTACAATATTAATTTAGTATTTACTAATGTTCTAAACAAATGAATAATTTCATACCACATTAATTCATATTGTTGAGTAGTTTTAGATGATTAGAAACAAAATGCGACGGGTACATAAAACTTTTGCTTATACACGTGAAGTGTATATAACTGAACAAAAGGTTTTGGGGAGTAAGAAAAAGTCCCACCACCAAATACATATTCAGAATCGCATAACAATTTAAGATTAGTTGAGCATGTTATTATTATCATATTTTTTTCTTGAGTAACAAAACAAAACTGTTCATCATTAGAAGTAATATTTTCTCGAATTTCATAAAGCTTTTATACGCTTCCTCTATGGTATGATGCAAAGTAGGAAAATGACATCTTCTGACACGATATATACATTGCCTAATAGATGATAAATCGGAATACATAATTTCGTCTTCAGGTTTCGGGAGTTAAGTTGAACGTATAATTTTACCTAGTTTTGAGTTTAAATCTATATTTGCTTTTATTTTACAGCACTTTTTACTTGATTCAATGCTAAAGTCTTCGGAGTAGAAACAGGATGATTGTGAGATGTACTATTAAATTAAATAATATTAGACTTGTTTGGCGACACTAATACACTAGATCCACATTTTTTATTTGCACACCGAAAACGTACTGTATCATCTTTTAAAACATATGATTTACAAAATTTATATTTTTCAATTACTATAACTTCGTTATTTTTTATAAAATTGAATTTGGCGTCAACTTTCGTATACATTTTATTAGAAAATTTATAAGTATTGAAAAATGTTCGTTCAATTTTAGAGATACTGTTCCGACAACTATGACATAAAGACTAAATAGTAAATACTATACCACTATAATATTTACCAGCAGTGCGTTTATAATCAAAATTAATGTCGTATTTCAGTATCTGATTAGATTAGATGTAGGCAAAAGATGAAAACCCACATGTTATCGTTCACTATCTATATTTGTAAATTCGTCTCAACAATCAGCCGAAACGATATAATAATAATATTTAGCTGTAGTAATGTATACGTAGGTATGTCACTTCCCTATTATTCAATAATTTATAAATTCGCCTAAAGATCGGTTAATTTCTCGCCTTGCTTATTCGCCCAAATGAATGATACCTATTCGAACGGGTGCGACTAGTTTGCGCACACTTACCTTTTTTACGGCACGTTTGAGGACAAAATCACAACTCGTTTGCGCACACATATTTTAGGTTTAAATGATAAAGGTACAACTCATTTGCGCGCATTTACCTTTGAGCAGAACAGCACATTTCCCTTCTCACTTCAATATAGGCTTAGGACTATCTGTTTTTTACAGGCGTGATTAAAAATGTGCATGACGTGTGTGTTTGTTTTGAATAAGTATATAATTATACTATTAGTAAGAAGTAATAATAGTAGTCTATTAGTTGTAAAATTAAACTATTTATAAATTGTAATAGTAGTCTATTAATTATAAAATTATATTAATTTTGAATGGTGGTGTATGCGTATGTTATGGGTATGCGTGTTTGTAATTTTTAAAATTTTATATTTTTTATTATTAACTAACCTTACTACAGCACTCACGGAACATTTTTTATTTGTACACCTAAAATGTGTATCACCAGATTTTAAAGTTCGAAATTCTCTAAAAACTATCTATATTTATACATTTTTCACCTCGACGCGTTACGACTGTTTAAAAATATTATGTTTAATACACGTCGATTATTTTCAATGAAGATAATGACTAATGATATATTGATAATTGATATGCTGGTAATTTGTACTGATAATTTGTACCGATAATCAATTACTTTAGGTAAGTCCAAATTTAAAAATATAAAATATATGTTACTCACTATTTATGTTGTGCGCAAACGAATCGTCCAATTTCAGGTTAACGACGGTATTCGTTGTGCGCAAACGAGTCATCGAAATCTAGGTAAACAATTTGGATTGTGCGCAAACGAGTTGCACCGCATTCGAACCATATCCGCCAATATACAAAGAAGTTTATTTGAGTCACATTAGATAAAAATGAAAGGCGGTATGAACTTGTTTTCTTTTAATGTTTCTAAATGTAACATTAAAATTGGGTTATATGTTGATATAAATTAGCATAATTCTAGAAAATTACCTTTGTTGGTTGTGTTCCTCATTATGCCCCCTGAGTGCAATATTTTATCTTGAAGTAAAAATAAGAGCGTCTATAACTATTAATACAATTTGCCTATTCTCTGCAACTTTTCGATTGACACGTTTATGCATTCCAGTACCAATTCTTACGTTATTTTCATACATTACTCGATCCATTTCACTTGTTAGGTGATCTGGGAAACTTTCATGGTTTTCTATTGTTCGCTTAATAATTTTATAATCATTAGACCCTTTATCTGCTAAAAAACGTTTTCTCTGCCTTAGGCAGACCAAATAGCTTACAAGTGATGCAATAAAAACGGTCTTGTGAAAGGGAGTATGATAACCATAACCGTTTTACACATTTTCCATCTTCAATCTTTCGGGGATAATAAGTTTCATAAAAAAAAATTTTTCAACTCAAATGATACAGTTGAAGGCAAAATGGCTGGATAATTTGGGAAATCTAAAAAACAAATGGTATAATAAAAAAAAAGTATTTAAAATTTATTTGTAATTTAAATTTTATTATTATGGCTTATAAAAAATTCTTATAAACGTTTTATATCTATTTTCAATTAAGTATTTATTTCTTCAACATCCAAATATATATCAAACCACAAGCTGTTTACCTGATAGATAACTGCATAATTGAGAAGTACTTTCTTCAATATTTATCTGTGAATATGTCTCATTCTGGGTAGCACTACATATTTGTACATCATTACCATAATTATTTAAAGATACATCCAAATCCGAAATACCAATGTAAAATTCAACATAAGATATCATAACATTCAACATAGCATTTCCGATGTCCAACAATTGCTTCGAAAACCGATCTACAGATTGATCATTGCGCAACTGAACACGTGTTTGCAGTGGCGTAGCCAGGGTAGGGTTTTGGGTGTTTAAACACCCCCCATTGACATTTCCCCCCTAATAAATATATTATTTATAGGGTTCGGGACTCATCCTTGCATGTTTTATTCTAGTGGTAGTAGGTTCTTTTAGATAAGTTATAAATTTGTCTTATGAAATTTTTTTGTCTTATCAAACGATGTTTGAATTTGCATATTTTTGTATATTGTAGGAAAAGTGTACATTTGAGCCATTTTTCGTATATTTGTGCATATATTGAATTTTTTTAACTTAAATGTAGGTACTTACATACAATTGTCGAGAAATATCATATTTGGACAACATTGAAAAATATCTTTAAAAATATTATGTTTGGTTAGGTACAATAGGAGCTAATTTTGAGATTTGGGGAAGCTGAAGCCTAAAATCATACTATTAAAAAATTGAATAAGAAAAATAATTGAATATGAATTTTTTAAAAATAATATAAAAATGTAGCTGCATATATTTAAGCATATTTTGAAAATGTTGACTGCATATTTCGATAATTTTTAGTGCAACAAGTCAAGTCCCGAACCCTAAATTTATTTATATACGAAATAAACAGTAAAAACTTGAAGGTTTTAATCTATACTTAAACACCCCCCATTTCATAATTCTGGCTACGCCACTGCGTGTTTGGCATCTCTAGAACATTGCATAGTGATGTATACGCTTTAGAATAAAACATCGCATATCGCAGCGTGACATCTATATCTATGTTTCAATGTATTGCACACAGGATGAATGATAAAATGCAATATTAGAAATATTACATAACCATTTCTATAATAATATACTTTACAATTCGGAATAAATTGAATCAAAATATTATTTTTTTTCAAGCTAGACAAGATCTAGTGCACTTCTTTCCAGGCGCGGATCCAGAGGGTGGGCCGGGCCCACCCAAAATTTTCAAGAACAATAATTTTAATTTTCAATATTTTCATTCAAGTTGTTATTTTAGATAACACGTCAGGGTGACACGTGTACTCGTAATATTATTCTGTCTGCTGTGAACTTCCAATACGCGATACCTGAATCCACATTTTAATTAAATAATTTAAATATTAAAATTTGTTGGAAATCCATCTATGAATTGTTGATGTGCTGAGCATATACATCAAATAGGTAAGTTTTATTTGTTTTTTTAGCTATTTATTAAGGCATAACCATTTATTTTATATTTAACAAATTGTTTGCGCAATTATTGAATACTTACACGAAAACAAATTTCTTACCTAATACCTATATGTAGTATGTACAGTATATACACGTAGATTGTTATATTATTATAGTAAATAGTTATTCAAGCTCTGTAATCCAAGCTCCAAAATGTTTTTAGACTTTGACACACTTATAAAATTGCCAGGAATTTCTACAAATAATCAATTTATTGAAAAGTTGAGAGCACAATGTGATTTAGGAAAAAAAATGTTTGCTGCAGATTCAAATTCTATAGAAGCCTATTTATCAATTAAAAGCATGGGAGCATCATTCTTACAGCTAGAAGAAGTGTACAGACAAATTTTAGTTATTCCAATTTCAAGTGCTACAGCTGAAAGGAGTTTTTCTACAATGAGGAGAATAAAAACGTATATAATAAATCGACCATGACCGGAAAACGTTTACACAACCTAGCTCTGCTATCGATTGAAGGAGAAAAAAAAACAGTGAGTGTTGTTGAACACTCGGCAGGAACGAAGTTCAGTGCATGTGATGCGAGACGCGGAAACATATATGGTTAGAAAAATATAAATAAATAGTGATAGAGAGAGAGAGAGAGACAGAGAGAGAAATGAATGCTTGTATAAATATATCACGCGCATGGTAATAAAATTATAATAAATTTTTTCTGAGTATTATGAAAAAATGGTATTTTAATCATTATAAAAGTACAAAGCAATTATGAAATTAATCAGTATTCTCAATAACAGTAAATATTGGTTTGTGGTAGCTGAAATATGTCACGTATGTTTGTGATTGAATTTTTTCTATATATCTCGAAAAAACTGCATCGATAGTGGTATTGTATCTTGTTGTAGATTCCGACGGATTATTAATAAATGACAATAGACATATTAATATGTCTATGGAACAAACCTATTGATGGGGGACGAGGTGGCCGAGCGGTCTAACGCGTCGACTGCGGCGCTGGCAGTCGCGCGGGTTCGCCTCTCGACCACTGGGCGGCATTTTTCTCCGGGCAAGTCACGGTGTCCGGAGTACAAGTGCCGCCATCCCCCAACCCGGGGCATGGCAGAAACCTACGGGTGCCCCAATAAAAATTCTGCCACCACAAACACACACGTGTACCAACCTACCCAATCTAAAAACCTACCAACACCCAATGGCCTATGTTGCCGCGGGTTATCCAATAAAAAAAAAAAAAAAAAAAAAAACCTATTGATGCTTAAGTCAAATTCTACTGAAAGAAATTTTAATAATGATACGGTTGATACAGCTTGTACTCGATTATCGTTTTTCAAAAGTAAATTTTAATTTCATTTGTTTAATAGATTTGTATGTATATAGAGAAGAAGGTAAATGGAAATCACAATGGAATTTATAAATTTAAGGGGCAAAAATTATTTTGAAAATAAAATTCTTATCACTTTCCTTATCAATAAAAACAATATTTATGAAAATCCCAATAAATCCCATCAAAAACTCAAAACCCCGAGTTTCCCCTTGGCGAGGTGGGTGTTAGTACTCTCCCGGACCAAAATCCATCAAAAAAGCAAAATCCAAAAGGGGGGAGGAGGTGCCCCCGTTCCCTAAAGCGGAAAACTAAAGTCTTCATAATAAGAATGGGTTCCCCCTTGGTCCGAGGTCTTTAACTTGAATTCCGGCCGAGTTACACTCAACTCAAAATGTGGGGGGGTGGGGGCTTTGGTTCCCTAATGTTGAAAATTCATCTGGGGCCTAAAAAATTGAGATGCCCATTGGTCCGGGGTCTCTAAGTCGAATACCGGCTAAGTTATGCTTCGTCAAAAATAATTACTCGTTTAATGGGTCCCCCCCCCCCATTCCGCCCGACGGTCACCTCTACGCGCGTGACGACCGATGTTGGGTAGCCTACGCGAATGGAACCCGGTTGCCAGATGGTACGATCCTAGTGGGGACATACGATAATATGAGAGGAGGGAGGGGATATGTAAGCCGGCAGCCGAGCAGAGCCGAGCCGAGCCGAGCAATGTTGCGTTTTTCAGTGTTACGCTTTTCGGTGTTACGCTTTTTGGTGTTGCGATTTTTTTCCAGCGACTCCCATCCACCTAACGCCCCATAAGGAACTTCGTTCCAAAAAGTGAAGAGTAAATACAAAATCCAGACGAAATTTTAAACGAATTTGCTAGTAATAAGTTAAGAAGGTTAAATTTTTCCACGTAACTGTATTTCAATATATTTTTTTTTTAACAATTATTATATTTATAACTAAATGAAAATTATTCTTTATTAAATCTTAATTTTACTGCATTATCTTATGTGTTTAAATTTACGAGCCCGCCCAAAAAAATATTCCTAGATCCGCGCCTGCTTCTTCCCGATTTTAGACTAGATGACCATTATTATATTTGATTTATGGTATAGTTATTACTCATTTTTCATTTGATTTTAGATTCTGGGTAGAGAGATGAATGTATTGATGTTACAATGATTTGTTTTTTTTTTTTGTCTTTCATCGCCTTTTAGACCAGTAAAAGTAAAAGTAAACATTTTTTGATAGTTTTCAAAATCACAGGGAAAAAGAAAATAAAAATTAAGGAAAAACGGAATTTTTACTCAAAATCGGGTTTCGACAACATTTATCAAATTTAAAATTTAAAAAGGCGGGTAAGTGGATGTCGCTCAGCTGTACAGTAGGTTACAAGTTGGTCATTGTTTAAAGGATTGTATTAAACTTGAATTCAATGATATAATATCATTGTATAAGAAAAACGATTCTGAACGGAGACGGTTTGTCAGTCTGTATATTTTATATTGTCATTAATTATTATAACATGTAAGTTGTTTTAATACTATAAACATGATATTTATATAGATAATACCTACCTATTTTTTTTTATTCGTTGCTACGGTGATAAACAAATTGTTAGAAATTAAAATCCCATTTTAAGCGGTTTTTCGTAATTTTTCAGTACTTTTTCCCGTGGCATTAAATAACTATTGAGAAAATCGAAAAATGACCTCTCTAAAGTACCATCTTGGTCCAATTTTCTAAAAGATAAGGTACTATATGTTGAAATCAAAGCACTCCTTCTGGTAGAAATTTTGTATACAGGATATAAAAAAAAATTAAAAATAAACACCATTGTAAAACCACTAGCTTCCTTGCTCCGCTCAGAATCTAAAATGATTAGTTAAACATATTTATAGAATGTCCAATTTTCATAACTGTTACTTTTTTTTTTTTTTTTATTAAATAAATTTCTTTATAAGATACAAATACATGATGTAAATATATACATTGATAAAGAATTTATCTACTCCTGTAAGCCTAGGCTTGTGGTGGAGTAGAGCGTTAGAGAACAATCGTACATAAATTATAAGAAATATAAAATTAAAATAATATTATACACAATTATAAAATAAAATAAAAATCTAAAGAAACATGATTTAGTATTTAAAAAATAAAAAATGTTTTAAATATTTAAATATAGACTAACAAACATCGTTATATGCGGATTTCACTAAGAAATATTTAATTCTGAAAAAAGCGTATCAGTTATGATTTTTTTGTCATTTAATAAGCCATAATGAAAGTTCTTTTTTGATAAAGTTGGCAACTGGTTAAAATAAGTTGGACCTAAATAATTTACAAACGATTGCCCAATCGTGCACAAGATATAACTTATAAAAATTAACAAGGTTGGACGTAAGTAGGTTATTCTAAGGGTCACATATATCCACAGGAAAGAAGAATTATATGAATTATTGGGGGAAAAAAATAAAGAATATAACAAATATATGTACTGACCAGAAACACCAAGATCTATGTGGGAAATACCAAATAGTAATTACAGATATATATAATGAAATAACTAAACAGAAAGAACGTATGTATATGTCACTAGGAAGTAGTATAAACGAAGAAAGAAAAGGGGATTAATAAACATAATAGGTAACGCCATGCATACATTATTTGGCGTATGTGATGATAAATGCACTAAGAAAACGCAAGAAGCTATAAAACAAACAGAAGACTCAGGAACTAACATATTGCACATAATGAAAACTCAAACAACAATAGTGAAATCAACGATAAGAAATATTGGAAATACACTAAATCAAACCGAACAACTATACAATAATATTACGGAAAGGGAGCAACAACTATACGTAAAAATGTCAAAAATACAGAACAAAACAAACGATATATTAGATTTACTAATGGAAAATGAAATACATAATTTATATACAATAATTACAAATCAATATTAATACGAAACAGAAACATTAGGGCAAATAGTAACTGCCGCTAGAGAAGGAATGATACATCTAAGTCTTATGACACCGCAAGAACTAGCATCAACATTAAAAGCAATAGAACAAACGATAAAGAAAAAATATAGTATTCCGATGGGAACAAGGAGATGGGAGCTAAATGAATTTCAAAAAATTACAAAAATAAGAGTCTACTACTTAGACAACAAATTAGTATTTGATATAGTAATACCATTAATTGTTGACATTGAACTTATATTAAATAGGTTAACACCAATACCAATGCGTCATAATCAAGATAATTCCATTGGATGGTATCTAATGGACATTCCTTATAACAATTTTGCTACAACCAAATATAAAAAAAGGTTTACTACATACACAGATCAAAAATTATAGTAAGGCCAGCGAAAAATGAGCCACGATTGTAGCGCCCCAAGTGGCTTTTTTCAGTAGGGCTATCTAAAAACTATGGCCTTACCGAAAAGACGCCACTTGGGGCGCTACAATCGTGGCTCATTTTTCGCTGGCCGTACTATAAATTAATGTAAAGAAACTACAATGTACAGAATATGTAAAACACCACAGCCTATACAAGACAACAACGAACGCCAACCATGCAAAATGCAAAACTTCATAAAAACTGACACATATTCTAATCCTGAGACATGTACGGATAAGAGAAATGCCAGGAAGAATAGTTAGATATGGAACACCAAGAACAAACGATTATATAACAAATAACTTTTAACTATTTCAGAAATTAAGAAGAAGAAACAAATATTTAAAACATACACGTAGAAATAAAAATATATAGAAACATACCACCTCTACCACGCTCAGTTCAACTGACACTAAACACTGGAATTCCTTCGGAAACTTAAAACAGAATTAATAACAGCACACCACACATAAATTAATTATGGGGAAACAGTGACCTTACACTGTCTCAGAAGGCACCTAAGAAGGGGAAATGAAAACATGACACACCCCTTTCGACAACTAGTTTTAGAAAGAGTTATGGTTAAGGTGACCATACGTCCCGTTTTGAACGGGACAGTCCCGTTTTCTGAATCTGTCCCGTTGTCCCCTGGGAAATCTTCGGGACGCTAAAATGTCCCGTTTTCAAAAATTAGACAAAAAAAAATAATGAAAATAAATGTTCGTTGACG